ACACTGGTACACTGACAGTAATACACTGACGTGCGCATTCACACTGATACACAGGCACAGCATCACTGTCACTGGTACACTGACAGTAATACACTGGAATGTGGACTGAAACAGCTCCCAGCTCTGACCCTGCAAACTTTGACTTTGACCCTTGACTCACTGACACCAACACTTAGACTGCTAAATGCCGAGACTGACCCACACACATGCTGACACAGTGCACACATACAATTACTCTCTCGTGTCCTGTCACATCGTCACTGACAAACTGAAACTCCCACACTAACACTGTCCACAGCTGTCCACTTTAATCATCACACCCCACCCCACTCATCGAGCCCCACTAATGCTCTCTGTCTTCCTAGGTGACGGTCAGTGCCAGCGGGCTGTTGGGCATTCACAGCTGGCTTCCCTATGACAAGAACATCGCCAACTACTTCACCTTCACCAAAGACCCCACAGTCTCAAACCCCAAGTAAGATGTTGCCCATTTGTCTCACAGTTCACCACATGAGGGGACTCACTAATAATAGTAATTCCTTACACTTACTGTATGTAGCGTTTTTCTGGACACTCAACTCAAAGCGCTTTACAGGTAAGGGGGACTCCTCTCCACCACCACCAGTGTGCAGCCCCACCTGGATGATGTGACAGCGGCCATAGTGTGTTGGTACACTCTCCACACACCAGCTCTCAGTGGGGAGGAGAACAGAGAGATGAAGCCAGTTCATAGATGGGCATTATTAGGAAGCAATGATTGGTAAGGGCAAAACATTGCTAATTGGTAAGGGCAAATTTGGGCAGGACACCAGGATAACACCACTACACTTTTCAAGAAACGCCCTGGGATTTTTAATGACCACAGAAAGTCAGGACCTCAGTTTTACGTCTCATCCAAAAGATGGCGCCTTTTTACAGTATAGCATCCCTATCACTTTACTGGGGCATTAAGATCCACACAGACTGGCCCCAGTAACACCTCTTCCAGCCGCAACCTTAGTTTTCATCTAGTTGATCACCTTGAAGAGCCTCAGGGGTGAGTTGCAGGGCGATGTAGCTGCAGGCACTGCCCTCCTAGGTCCACCAGATCTGTCAGGTCCATTGCGAGCGTGTGTGTGTTTCTGCTCCTACACAGCGTTACTGTTCCCCTCTCTCTGCAGGACTCAGAGGATCCTAGCGGGGCCGTTCTCCCCCGGGGTACAGCTGGGGTCCCGGGTGCTGGTGGTGTCGAACGATGCCCGGCTCCTGTTCAGTGGGGGTCACTGGGACTGCAGCCTGAGGGTCACTGCGCTGACCAAGGGCAAACTGGTCGGCCGGATTTGCAGGCACATCGGTAGGACTGTACTGCACATACCAGTACCCCCATACAGATGTGGTGGGGGAATAATCTCACTTTCAGTAAACCCCATACAGTTGCTCTTTTTATATGAAAGCCAACCAGGGATGCAAACAGCAGGCTTCTGTCTGAATTTAATTTTGTTTGTAATATAATATACAAGATTCTGTCTGAGTTTTAATACAGGCCTTTTTATACAGAAGAGTCAGGGAGCCTGCAGGGTGAATCCTCTTGATCCAACAGAAACTGCATTGTAGGACCACTCTTTGCCTTAGGGTGTTTTTTCAACAGTTTCACAGAGGGCATGTCCTTTCTAGTGTTATGCGCGGTGACACAGAAAGCATAAGTGCTCTAATAAGTATAGTAATTTCAGCACTATTGGTAACTGGACTGTTTGAGTACAAGTAGCTAAAATGAGAAACTAGAATGAGTCTGCTGTCTTCTCTCTTTATGTCCACAGTCTGCTGGGAAAAAAAAACTTTCAAATCAGACCAGTCCTGTCCTGCTCCCTTGCCTCTATTTTCATTCAGTGTGCTTCTTAATATGGGGAAGATATTGTAGACTGCCCCGTCATCATTGAAAGACCAAGACATGACAAGGAACTCCCTGGCTCTAACCCTGATCTCTGACTTTCAGATGTGGTGACTTGTCTGGCCCTGGACCTGTGTGGTATCTACCTCATCTCCGGCTCTCGGGACACTTCCTGCATTGTGTGGCAGGTCCTGCAGCAGGTATCGGCACACTTTTCCTGTTCGCTTACAGACCATCATGTCTTGTAGAAAACCTTTACCCTCACCTGCCTTATTTCCCCTCCTTACCATCAGGGTGGGTTCTCCAGTGGCCTGGCACCACGACCAGTTCAGGTCCTCAGCGGTCATGACCAGGAAGTCACCTGTGTGGCCATCAGCACCGAACTTGACATGGCTGTCTCGGGGTCAAAGGTGAGAGGTCAAAGGCATAATTCTCACTGAAAGAGTGGAGCTGGCAATGCAGAGAGTGTGTGGCAATCCTGCATGCTGACTCTCCAGTGTGCATAATAATAATTCCTTACACCTATATAGTGCTTTTCTGGACACTCCACTCAAAGCACTTCACAGGTAATGGGACTCCCCTCCACCACCACCAGTGTGCAGCATCCACTTGGATGATGCGATGGCAGTCATAGTGCACCAGGATTCTCCCCACACACCAGCTCTCGGAGGGGAGGAGAAAAAAATTCTGAAGCCAGTTCATAGATGGGGATTATTAGGACGCCATGATTGGTAAAGGCCAGGGGGAAATTAACCCAGGATGCCAGGGTTACAACCCTACTTTTGTAGAGAAACACCCTGTTATTTTTAATAGCCACAAAGAGTCAGAACCTTGATTTTATGTCTCATCCGAAGAGTGGCACCTATCTACAGTATAGTGTCCCCGTCACTATACTTTGGCATTAGGACCCACACAGACCACAGAGTAAGCGCATCCTGCTTACCCCACTAACACCTCTTCCAGCAGCAACCTTAGTTTTTCCCAGGAGGTCTCCCATCCAAGTACTGACCAGGCTCACACCTGCTAAGCTTCAGTGGATTGCCAGTTCTGAGCTACAGGGTGATACAGCTATTTAGATTTACAGTATAGTGTATAGTGTGTTTGTGCGAGTACAGGCAGTGCTGATAAGCAGAGAGGGGAGAAGGAGAGCTTAAAGGGGCTCCAAGTTCAAAGGGGATCCAAACTTTAACATCACTCAAATTCAGAGAGTGTATTAGAGTTCCTTCAGGATCCAAAATTAGAAATGAAATTCCAGTTACTGGTCAAGAAGCACAGACATGTGCCCTTCCATCAGACAGTCCTCAGCTTGAGTTTCACTTCCACATATTTCTATATGTTTTCCCAGATCAGTCGAAGCTTTAGGTTTTTGTTTTAGCTGTCGGCATCAGAGAACTTCCATGATAAAGAATGCTGAAATAATGGACTGCAGAAACCCGTATCTCTGCTAAAAATATGGGCTCCAGGGAAGTATGAGTTTTGGAAAGTTGAGCAGTTTGGAGGGTCAGATAATAATTGCTCCTCCTGTGTGTCAGGACGGCACTGTGATCGTGCACACCGTGCGGCGCGGTCAGCTGCTACGCACCCTGCGCCCGCCCTGTGAGAGCTGCTCGGCAGCCAGTGTGACAGAGCTGGCGGTGAGCATGGAAGGCCATATCGTCACCCAGACGGTCATCGAGGGACGGTCGCCGCACAAGGTAAAGGTGGTATGCTTTCATACGACGTTGCGGCAGTTTATTCCCTTTAAAAACACTAAACCTGCAGTGAGTCTGCGCTTAGCTCTAGTTCACCAAAACCCCCAAAAGATTAATGCTCAGAGCACAGGAGCAAAGCATGATCCTTCTGTCACAAAGCCCAAAAGTTCGTTTCAAATTCTGAACTGAGGCTCTTATTAACATAAAACATTGTGCCTAATTAGGAAAAAAAAAACGTGTGTACATGTGGTGTAGGGGCAAGCGGAGAGAGTTTCAGCAGATAGGAGGAAGCATTAAAAGGGGCTTTGTCAAGACAGAGATCTGAGGGAGGGCTTCATAGAATATGAATAGCATTGGAGAAAAGTTTGGGGTAGTAGAGTCACTGGGGGGGGAGTTCTTACGATGGGAGGAGTTGGCAAAGGAATTGGTTTTGAATGGGTGAAGTCAGTAAGGGGTGAGTGTGAATGAGGAAGTACAAACACTTAATTTCCTGTAATTAAGTACATATTTATACTTCTTTTGCTGTGTGTTACCATTTATAATCTACAGTAGCCTACAAATGTATTCATACCCTTAATGGAATGATTCTAATAGTTGCTTTTAGCAGAAACATTCAAATGTTAGTATTTGCTGCCTAAATGAAGACAGTATTAAAAAATAAGAGAACTTACTGGATAAAACAAAAATGTCCCAAAAAATGTGCCTCAGTCACTAATGTTCTGATTTATTCACACCTTGCAGATATGTTAAATACAGTGTACATTTAATCCTTTATATGTTGTGTATGAGTTCTTAAGATTTTTTTAGTCATCTGGTAGTTTCACAGAAAGTAAAGTAAAAGCTTCTGGAAAGTCCCTTTGATTTCCACTCAGTATTAAAGGAGACTGAAAAGAGAATCAAAGACCCCAGAACCATTTAAACATGGGAGAAGTCAGAGAATTGTCCGAAGATTTAACATAAAAGATTATTGACCCCAACAACTCCAGTGGTGGCTGTGAAAAACCACATGACATCTCAGTTTTGACTTTGTTGTCTAACATAACTAATGTGATAGTCGCTACCGATCCAGGAAGAGGATGTAAGAACATGAGGTCTGAAAAGTGGTTGGGAGAATAATTTATATCATCAGGCTATAAAAACAAATGGAACCTTTAAAAAACAAGAGTTTCATCAGGACACAGTGCCTTCAAGATAACATTTGAGGTAACCTTATGTATCTGGGGTCTGCAGCAGAGTTCCATAGCAACAGACAAAGACACAAGTTTGGTTAACAGGTTCTAACAGACTTCCTGAGTCTAATAGGACTACATGGTGGCACTAATTTAGTTTTTAAAAATGGCCTTACCAGCAGTGTGATTAACAAAGTATTTGGAAGCTCATATTTCCTTCTTCTATGAGGTATGGAGGTTTTTCATTCTTTGGTCCTGTTAGAATTGAAGATCAGTTGGTTATTTTATCTGGATATTTTATCTGAAAACCCAGTTCTCCTGCAATGTGAACTTTCTGACTATGAAAGCAGATTAAGTGCTTGAAATACACCTCAACATTTAACTGTCGGATTAATAGTTACAGTTACAAAAAGAACATGTATGGTATCAGCTAAAGAAAACAGACCAGAGGAACATGTCCCATAACCCGAAGGAGCTTATAGCTGATCTGGTGAGAAGTTGGTCAAAAATCCCTAGAGAGAAGTGCCTGATCGTTTTACTGAGCTACAGGAAGCACCTTCTCTAATCCAAAGTAGGAATAATAAAATAGTGATTGACATGATGGGAATGATCATGAACATTATGTATTTAGAATTTGTTTTCGATAAATATGGACAGATTTGTTTTTGAAGCACCTAGATGTGTATTCTTACACAATATCATTTGTTAACCCAAGAAATACTGAGAGCACACTTAGATTTTTTATTTGCTCAAACCAGCTTTGAGTTTCATTGTATCAAGGGTATGAATAAGTTGGAAAACCTGAACCTGAACAAATAAGGATGTAATGACTTGTCTTCATCACCTTTTCCTTCTTTCTCACACATTCTTTTACATACTCTCCCCACCTCCTACATGCCTTCTCTTTCTCTCCTGAACCCCTTCCAGGATAAGTACACACTCCACCTATACTCAATAAACGGGAAGCAGCTGGCATCAGTGACACTAGAGGAGCAGGTGACGGCCCTGTACTTGGTGCCTGACTTTGCCATCCTGGGCACTGCAGAAGGCAATCTACACATTCGGGAGCTGTACAGGTGGGCATCCAGCACTGGCTTCCTGGCACGTGTTCACACTGAACCACCTACGACCAAGCAGAGGGTGTACTTTGAGACAGTGAGCATAACTCTGGGACTAGAGGCCTACATGGGAAGTCTGGTCTGTTGGGACGCTGTAACTTTACTGATCTTGTGTTATGGAGAAGATGACGAAATGCTGCTTCTGTTCATAGGCAACATAAAGAGCTTCAGGGCTTTAGCAGAGAATTATTTGCAGTGACAAAGCGCAAACATCATGACCTCTTGACGCAGGCTTGATGTGAAACACGCCACAGCATGTCTGACCTCTGGAACCTTGTGCTCTATATTGTGTGCGGACAGCCTGCAGCTCGCCGTCTCTCCCCTGGCACTGAAGCTACCAGTCCGAAGCATCTCGGTGACCAAGGAATGCAGCCACATCCTGGCGGGCCTGGAAGATGGCAAACTCATTGTAGTGGGCGCAGGACAGCCCGCTGAGGTGAGGAGGAAAATGGAGGATTAGGAATACTCAGAATGAGGCTGGTTTAGAAAACCTCTCAAGAGAAGTAGCTTAGAAAAATTAAGATGGTGCATGACTAGTGTTGGCATTCATCGATCATGTCAATCAAGCTCTTGAATGGTATTTGAATTTGAATGGTACATTTCTGTTGCCACAGGTTGTTTTCATACATGAACTCTTTGAAATAACGCATCTCTGCATTCTCTCTTTCTCTGTCTCCCTGTCCTTTGAAATCTCATGGTATCCTTGCTCTCGCTCTCTGGCCTCTCTGTCTCCTTCCCCCCTGCCTCTATCCTCTCTCTTCCTCATGCCTACAGGTGCGGTCAGGGCAGTTCTCTCGCCGGCTGTGGGGCTCCACTCGCCGAATCTCCCAGGTGTCGTCGGGGGAGACCGAGTACAACCCCCAGGAGGCTGCTGGGAAGTAGATAACGGGGTGACACCTGGGACTAGCCGGCAAGGGTGAAGACGGGAGGAGACAATGAATGGCGACACAAGAAGGAAGATGGTCAAGTCAGTCTTGGGTTGGGAACAGAAACGCAGCACCCAAACATGAAACCGCGGGAACAGCCTTGCCCCCCGGCCCACTGCAAGGCTGGCTTTGCAGCGGCCCCCATCCACACGAACTGTAACCCTCTTGTCACAGGGGTGAGGGGGCAGTGGGATGGTTTTCCGAAGCTGCGTTCATTTCCACATGAGGAAGAGGAAAACAAACGTCTTATTTATTTTGAAGTTGTTTGATTTGCCTTTTTTCCCAAAACAAAAATTCCAAAGATACTCATGGCACTCAGAAGATGGCTCATTGTTGAGACTGTCTCTGAAACAGGATCTGCCATGTGGGTGTGTGCTCCCTGCCTCTGCTGGGTTAGGCTGAGGCTCCGCTGCATTGCAGAGTACAGAGTCTACCAAGTCTACACAAAGGCCCACTGACTCGGTGGACAGCAGTATATAGCGGAGCTGGTTAGGAGCAAGATGAACTTGACAGGTCCCGGTAGTGTTCACTTCACCTGCTTTTAGATGGATTGACGGTTTGAGGGTTTTAGCCCAGGAATGCTGCACTGCTGTTTGTCTTGTGCCGAACGCCTAAGCTGCATCAGGCTTGAAAAACCACAGAAGAGGGGCAGCTCCAGAAAGGACTCTGTGTGTCCGCACTGCCCCCTGGTGGTGTCTACACAACATGCGCTGCCCCTCAATGATGAGTGAACCACTTGTTTTTCAGTGCAGGCTGTCCTTCTTTTCTATTGATATACGTGTTGGGTTGCTCTTTCTCTGGAGTCGCAGAGCACCAAAATTGTGCACTTTATATCACTTACTATACAGAACAAATCAGTTGTTAAGAGCATGGCTATTCAAACTGTGGTCATGTGATCAGTATCACTGCTCCAGCCAGCTCCTTCATTGCACAACAGGTTATAACCTCAATGTAATAACTAGAATGTTGCTTGTATTAAAATACTCAGAGTGGATGATGGAGTCAGATCTGGAGCATCCCTGCTCTCGAGGTACATAGGGTAAGGGGACATTCTCTGTGTGGGGTATTGCAGCCTTAAAGTCTTCTCCACTTACTTTTACATTAGGTTGCGAGATGTTTTGTTTGCTTTTGCTTATAAAAGCTGTTTTTTTTGCACTGATAAACAGTTCCAATGCAAAGGATTTTAGGTTAGTAACATTTGCAATACACTGAGACAATTGCTAGTGCTACTTGCTTTCAATGCAAGCAATAATCCCCTTTGCTGTGACATCAAAGGAGCAAATTGAGTTGGAGGTGGTTTGACTGCCATTCCTCCAGGACACCAGAAGGAGGCTTTCTGTCTGCATGTGTAGGAAGTGTGTTTCATTGCTCAGTCAGTTCCCAGTCCCAGCTAGGGGCTTCCTGGGATTCTGGTCAAGAAAGAGATGTTATTTAAGGGTGGCTGTGTCTCTTTCTGACAGTGCAAAGCACAGTTTGCATCACAGCCTAAATCTGAAAAGTTATCTGGGGTTAAAAATCATAGTTACACATTCCGAACTGGTTGTGGTGCTTTGTAATTTTAGTCTGCAAGCTGACAGATCTATGTCTTGACTGAGGGAGAGAGAGCTTGTACTGTCAAGTACAGCCAAGGGCAGCAACACAGTAGAGAGGGATGCAGGATTTCCATTCTTTTAGAGTTTAGAGGGAATTTAGAGTTGCCTGTACACTCCTTGCAGTGAATCACTGCTGCACTGAAATAATTAAAACAATGGACATGAGATGCAAATGAAAAGACACTGTATTGCACTGTTATAACACTGTAGGCCTGCTGACCAGCTGAGGGACTGTCACAGAGAAATGGAGGCAAGGAGACATGGAACAAGAGCCTGTCATACTGCCTGGCATGATCCAGGCTCATACAAACAGAAACTTGTTCCTAAACAGTAGCAGCTGGGAAATGCACAGAGATGTCATTTTCAAAGTCTCAGTAGTAAATTTGTTCATTGGCCACAAATCATCACATAGTGCCAGTTTCGGAGTCTGAAGAATAAACTATTCATATCTGTTCTGTTGAACTCTGCAGTTGTGACCCCTGTGTAATAGACCCTTCTTAACTTACTGACCTGTGACTCTCTCCTGTCTTAACTACTGACCTATGACCCTCTATTGTCTTAACTAAGCAATCTCGTGGTACGCTGACAGCGTTGTATGCAAAAGGCATCTGCTGACTTGTAACGTGGCGCTGAATTGTAGTGTACTGCCACATCTGCACACTGTGACATTCCAGTTTAGCACTGCCAGAACCAAGTTATTCTTTTTCGAGTCACATGTTCCCTAAAACGAAGTTCTGCATTGTCAAAGAAAACAAAACGTGCATTTTCAACTTCCTCTTCTTTAAGCCCATCCCAAAAGCTAGCGCCATGACATTGTTTGACAGCTACGCGTTTATTGTTCATAAAAAAAATAGTGCCTTTTTTTCCTTTAATATTAAAAAAAAAAGATTTTACGTAATCCGCGGTGATGTGCAATTGCAGAAGGTTTTTCTGCCTTTTGTGATTAGAAGGTGCTGGATCAGGAATCTATTTTAAACAATATAAACTCCTCACAGTGTGGAAATCCCATCAGTTACAGGTGCAAACTAATAAGAAGCGATGTTTGTATCTCAGTAAATTTGCATGGAATTAAGTCTTTTATGTTGGCCGTTCTGAAGTTTAACCCTCTCTCCTGAACAACCATTCTTCTCCACTTCCTCTTTGCACTTGTTAAGCAGTAAACGGCTTTCATCTTCTTTTCCTTTTTCTGTTTCGGATCCACCTGAATTGCCTTCAGTTTAATTGTCAACTGGCTTTGAATATTGCATGTACGTGTGTGTGTGAAGGGAGGTGGGGTGGATCAAGGCTCAACTCACAGAAAGGACATAAAAATCACGACTATAATCCCCTAGTCTCCTTATCTCGTTGGAGCAAAGAATCCCAAACTCATTTGTGGTTGACAGATTTCTCTGTGGAAGACTGAACTGCAGGGGGCAGTTTGCTGGGTTAGGGTGATCAGAGGCCTTTGAAAGAGGACTTGCTCCTGGGCCTTGACTTTCTCAGCCTGACGCCTACATTTCCTTGCCTCTCCGCAGTCTTTGTGCTGCCTTTCTCTGCCACACGTCGTATTTGGAATACTTGACAGTCAGAGGCTTCCTTGGGACCTCCTTATTTAGTGCCGGTAATGCAGGTATCACTAAGTGACTTAACAGGTTTAACGCAGTACATTTCCAGAAGGTTCAAATCACAGCTTCGGAAACAACATTCTTCAGCTATACCTTTCTGTGCGCTTCGAACCGTTTGATCTGTTTGATTGTTGGCCTGCTGAAATAAAACCCTCTGTCTTCACACACAAACTGTCGCGCCTCTGCCAGCACTCCACTGCAAAGCGTTTCAGCATAACTGAATGGTTTAGCCGCATCCCTAATGTAAAATGTTAAGGCGATTGTGAACACCAACATTTGTCTTGATGTGGACATCTTTTGCACCTTCGTTCTTCTGTTTTCAGTTCCTAAGCAGGTATGGCAGAAAGCTTGGTAGCTGTATTTTTGCTGATCCTCCATTTCTGAAGTTGTTTGATATGAATGTGGTAATTTGGTAGTGAAGTGGGTTATGTTCCCAGTTGCTAATGTAGAGGTGTTGTGTGAAGCTGCCCCTCAGCTTAGGAGACCTCTACTGACCTCTGACTCTCTCCTGTCTTAACTACCGACCTCTGACTCTCTATTGTCTTAACTACTGACCTGTGACTCTCTCCTCCCTTTCTTAGCTTTGTAGCTGGCAGTCTGTGTGTATTTAGTTAGGAAGAGACCGTTTGGAATGAACTGTGCAATAATGTTGGCAGGATTCCTTGGGGGCTCATGAACTTTTTTTTCCCTTGGTTTAGCCGACTGGCGCAATATGCTGGAGCAAGCAGTTCTGTGCATTTCCAGGCCTCTGCTGTCTGTATATATTTGCAAAAAAAACATACATAAGGGATCCAATTACCCAGAGTACAGCCATTTAGAGGATGCCTTAAGCTCAGGTGGAAGAGCCTTATATTAAACAAGTTTGTTTGCTATAAACACTGTTTTGTTTGACTGTTGTTGTGGTGTTTGTAATTGTTCTCTTAAGACACTTAAAATACAGAAATAAATATTTTCTACTATATTCTATGGAAGCAATTTTGTATTTTCTGTTTGGATCTTTGTTTTTTTTTAATCGGTGCATTCTTTCCCCAAAAATCTTTCAAAAATCCCTGAAAGAGTCTTTTTCAAATTGTTTGGTGACACTTGACTTTAACGAGGATGAAAAAAAATACCATTATAACTCCTTCATAAATGCTACAAAAGATAATGTAACAACATGCATTATCTTTTTAATCATTGGGGCAAATCCACCTTAACTCCCTCTATAAACAAAGGATTCTAAAGAAAGCTAAGAGCATTACAGAGTGTGTGACTCAGCCCTCCTTTGTGAATTTACACTGCTCCCATCTGGGAGACACCTCTGTGGCCCCAGGAAATAGTAATGGAAATAGACTCAGGAAATTTCTCATCCCCTCTGCAATCTCACTCTCAATGTGAAATAACTCCCTTATCTCCTAAAACGCTGTTGTACTGTATACTTTATTGGTGTTGTCTGTCTTTGTTGTGTTGTTGAGTTGGACTCTGTCGTAAAACACATTTTCCCCAGGGGATAATAAAACTTGAATTGAATTCACAATGATTTGTTTAAATGACGTTACAGGCACCCAGTTATTCATAATGGTTCATAATGAAACTTAAGAGTCCACAAACAGCTAAGAGCAGATCTCCATGTAGAGAAGAGTGCAGTGAGAATTCTGTAAGGCACTGTGAAGAGCCTGAGATCTGACAAAGATTTACATCAGAAGGAACAGATATGTTTATGCCCGGATACATTTATGTAAACTTTTATTCTTCTGTATGTTTTTAATGCCTGTTGTTTCATCATGTTGTGTGGTGTTTCTGAAGGAGTTGTGACTGTTTTTTAGCTTTTCTGTGCCTTCTTTTCATCCATACTTTGACCACATCAAAATCACACGGCCTCACAAGCCTTGTGCACTTTAGGCACATCACACTTGCCCAGCCTTGTGTTATAATGATCTGAAGGATGCACAAGATCAGCTTACCTCGTATGAAGGTGTTGGTGTCTGCTCCATTTTGTTGCTTGGTGTTGTGTCACAATTTTATTAGCTTTGTGTTTAAATGCAATGTGACTCCACATGTCTATGGTAGGGACACAGTGCAAAGTTCTTGCGCCTGCCTGTGTGTGTTTGTGTGTGTGCGTGTCGGCAGCAGCTGGTTGTGATTTGACTGCGGTCTCTCTGCTCCTCTCAGCTCAGCCGCCCCCCTCCCCTCCACCTCTAGCATCCCTGCTGTAGGGGCTGCTGGGACAGAGGGGCAGTGGCCGTCATGCCAGCTGAGTCCTGTTCTGCAGCCCGGCGGCGGCTCTGCGCGTGGCCCTGGAGCCCTACAGCTGTGCCACAGGCAGCGGTGTGTGTGTGTGTGTGTGTTGTGCCCAAAGGGGCGGCACGTCTTGCCCACCTCCACACCCTCTCTGTGCAGGACCGACATCTGGATCATAATCTGTGTATTTGCTACAGTTCTCTCACTGCACAGCAGCAAGTCACAACAGTTTCACACTCTCTTCCCCATTCCTGGTCTTTTTTGCATTGTTCGTTTTCTGACCGCCCCCCCACTTTTGTCAAATTCAGATTCAAGGAGCTTTATTGACTTGACCGAAGAATTACAATGTTAACAATTAGCACAGCATTTCCAGCATTACTGTAATAGCCTAGTGAACACTCACTCTTGTGTTCCTTACAATAATTTACCAATAATGACCAATAATGTGACTTTTTACATTTCTGTTGTGCAAATCCATGTTTCTAAAATGGGTAAAGGCTTATTCTTTGCTGAAAGAAAAAGAAGTAGTAATGT